ACCGCGGCTCCAGCGAAGCTTCAGAGAAGCTTCAAGCCTGTATCCGTAGAGTGGGACTTCCGGCAGGCAAACCTCACAATCTATGTAAGTTGCGTGGGAGCTGGGGTCGCATCATCCGAAGTCCCCTCCCAAATTTGGGTCGATACTGGATGGCACACGTCCCCTTGTCCTGGTACAGTATGCCGAGAGGCTCGGCGCATCCTTTTCCACGTTAGCGGCGCGAACCAGCGTACGGCACAATGCCGACTCGGAGGGGCAACAAAGTCGGCAGACCCTTGACAGCACAGCATTGCAGCATGCTTCAAGAAGCTCTTGGGTCGAGAAGCTTAATCGTTGTACTCAACATCAAACAGCGACCCGCGAAGATAGAAAAATACGATATCGGTGTAATCTGCTCAATCTCAAAACTCCATGTTTTGCGCTGCAAAGATCGACATTAAGGGCGTCAATAGAGTGTTGGACGGGCTCTATTAGTAAAAGCGTTGGAGCGGGCCGAGTCATTTCATGCTTCTTAGTGCGAGTGCGACGAGTCCAACGGCTGACGGACAAATGATAAGAAACGGAACAAAGAGATCCGGGAGGGCTTACGGCGGAAACGCGTTTCTAGAGGGATGGTCCGCTGTCTGAATCGGATTAACAAACTAGCAACTCCAGCTAACTCTGTTGACCTTGAAGGCTTACCATACGGCCTCATATTCGAATAGTGTATTAGTCTAACGGCCGAGCAGGATTCAGCAGCAGAGCCGAGGCACACTACGCCGATGGCTGAGGTCAAGCCTTCGGCCAGTACAGTTGAAAATCAAGCTCGAATAAACTTCGCCAAGATCATTCGGGTTCGGGTCCCAATCCTGACTCGGGGTACCGAATAGACAACTGTACCAATATGGAGCAAATAAGAGGTCGGGGCCCGTATGGAACAAGGCGCCCTAGAAAAGGTTGTGGCTGACGAAGGGCAGATCCGAATCTTACGTCCGTATACTAGACTATCCGTAGACCTCGATATAGTCATCTGGATGTTCATAGCTCCGCTCCGCTATCAACGCCGCAGCCGCTGACACCACATCATCGTCGGCGGCGGGGTCAGGCGAGCTACGATATGGATGCCTGCTGGAAAGCGTGGGGTAAAGTCGGCGGCGACAGCGATTTCGACTCTCGGAAGTCGTACGTTGACGAATAGAGTGACGGTCCGGATACCCGTTCCTTGCCAGCGGAGGAAGCTAGGGACCTCCCGACGGGGTTCTTGCATGCATAGGTTTTCCCCGCCGGCATCTTGAGCTGAGATGGAAGGTCGAGGCGAATTCCTAGACTGACGACCTCGTTCGGAAAGCCACACTGCCTTGCCCTCTGGTGTTGGTAGACTTCTGCTTCTAGAGGCACACGTAGCTATGAGGACTACAACGCGGCGTCGCCAAGGCCGACGCGGTTCAAATGTATGGCAAAAGAACGCCGATTCTCTTCGACCATGCCGATATTGCCATGCCGACGGCGGACGGCCTAGATCATGATCGCATGGGTATGTAAGGTGAGAGTTTAGGCGGCGTTTCAACACCACGGTTGCCGGCTCACGATTGCCCGTGATCTATTGCTGCTAAGTTCCAGTCAACATCCAAAGATGCAGCAAACTTTGCCATTAAGATCTGCGGCCAATGCTGCCATTGGACTTCACAGTTCACTCATGAAGGATCCAGAGAATAGAACTAGAGGGTGTGCCAGCTCGTCGAATTTTGAGACTTAACACGCTGGAAGCCGGTGTATCAAAGTCCATATCCTAAATCCTAAGTCCTAATCCAGCTCTCTTAACATTATCAACTCGACCTTCGAACAATGTCTTTGACAAGTCCAGACCACGCTGTACAGCCAGCTTGGCGAAAGTCTTTCCTCATCTGGCGTCAGATAGAGGCAACTACTGTCCACTCAGTCAGATCATGGGACAACAGAATGCCAAGTTTGAAGGAAATCCAGGCCAGCTCTGTCGATCGAGACTCTAGATGCAGCGCGACTAGAGGGCCGTAGCGGCGTTTTCGAACTCTTACTATGCCTAGGGAGTGTGTTAAGGGATTCGCGCAACTTACCCCCTTGGTAGTGTCCTCGATGAAAGCGGAATCCCGGGAGTTGCATCCGCCTGGAACAGCTCCTACTTCTGAGAGATCATCAACGTGATCGTGATATTATGATGATTTTACGAGGAACTGATACCTTGTATTGCTCCAGCTCGCTGAGCTCGGCGACCTGTCTCGCCACTCGCAAGCCTAGTCGATTTCCTCGCCGACAGGCTGCAAGGAGGTGGTATCAAAGACACCAAGGCTGGAACATGAGGTGATTTCCCATGTCTTTCTATTAGCCACACGACGCTGACAAGTGTCGGCTAACCCTCTGGCCGGCGAGGGATCGCCTGCCTGGGGATGACTAAACACATCGACAGTACACCAAGACATAACGTGAATGATAAGCGAGTGAGACAGACAAGCGAGTGAGACACAAAACTGCGCCGATGATGCTTCAACACAAATGGAGACGTTTCTTCCACAACACATCATGGCATCCAGAAGTAATGAGTCAGGCATACAGCTGGCCCTTCAAGCTATCAGAATCAATCCAGAGCTTAGTGCACGGGCTGCAGCTACGATCTACTCGGTCAGCCATGCAACATTGAGTCGACGATTGAAGGGCTCTACATCTCGAAGCGACAGGATACCGAACTCGAGGAATCTTACTTTGCTAGAAGAGCAGACATTAGTTGATCACATTCTCGATCTAGATGCCCGATCATTCCCTCCCCGGATCCGTGGTGTGGAAGAAATGGCTGATCGACTGCTTGCTGATCGCGACGCGCCTCCGGTTGGGAAGCGCTGGGCCTTAAACTTCGTCAAACGACAACCACAATTACGGACGCGGTTTTTTCGGAGGTACGACTACAAGAGGGCCCAATGCGAGGATGCAGAGGCTATTCGCGGCTGGTTCGCTCTTGTGAAGAACACAATCGCGAAGTATGGTATCGATGAGTTTGATATCTACAACTTTGATGAGACTGGCTTTATGATGGGCCAGATTGCATCTGGCATGGTTGTCACAAGTACTGAAAGGCGTTCAAACACAAAAATGGCGCAGCCTGGTAATCGAGAATGGGTTACAGTGATTCAAGCCATCAAATCGCAAGGCTATAACGTCCCGCCGTACATCATCGTTGCAGGCCAATATCACCTCTCAACCTGGTATACAGAGTCAGGTTTCCCGGACGACTGGGTCATTGCGACGTCAGAAAACGGATGGACAACAAATGAAAGAGGCCTAGATTGGATCCAGCACTATGATCGTCATACGAAACCACGTTTGAGAGGCCAATATTGCCTCCTCGTCGTCGACGGGCACGAAAGTCACCACTCAACAGACTTTGAGCTATATTGCAAGGCAAACAAGATCGTTACACTTTGTATGCCGCCTCATTCGTCTCATCTACTCCAGCCCCTTGACGTTGGGTGCTTTGGTCCGCTAAAGACGGCGTATGGGCAACAAATTGAGGATAAGATGCGGCGGGGCGTAACCCACATCTCAAAGGAGGACTTCTTTCCTGCATATCGCAGCGCATTTAGTCAAGCGATGACTGAAAAAAACATCCAAGGGGGTTTTAGAGGAGCTGGGCTTGTTCCTCTGAGTGCAGAAAGCGTCCTATCAAAGCTGGATATCCGGCTACACACTCCAACGCCTCCAGCATCACTACCACAGACACCTCCGCCTTGGGTTTCAAGGACACCAAACAACCCAGTAGAGGCAAGCTCTCAATCCAACTTTATTAAGAGTCGGATCACTCGTCACCAAAGCAGCTCCCCAACCTCTATTTGCGAGGCTGTTGAATGACTTTCTAAAGGTACAAGAGGCATCATGCACCAAGTAGCCTTACTTAGATCTGAGGTACAGATTCTTAGAGACGAGAATAACCAACTCAGTCGACGACGGAGAACTAAGAAAACACGCCTACAACATGGAGGAAGTCTTACTGTAGCTGACGCAGCAGATATACAGTCACAGAAAGATGTGACTGCGCAGGTTCAGGAGGAAATGCGTCGTACTAGTGGTCGCAAACTGAGGGCCGAGACAGGTCAGCGACGGTGTGGCGTTTGTGGTCACCCGGGACACAATTCACGAACGTGCCAGTTTATTGAAGAGATGTCTGAAGATGAGGATTATGAGTAGTTTGAATTGAATTGATGCTGTTGATGTTGATATGGAAGCCAGTTTATCTCATCGGCGCAGTTTTGTGTCTCACTCACTTGTCTGTCTCACTCGCTTATCATTCACGTTAGAGCATTTGAGATTCTTAACTTTCGATACTGGACCGTCGTAGCAAGACGTCCTGGCCGCCAACGTTGGGATGCTGATGTGTAACCTCTGTATGCGACATGATCATCACTGTAAGCCATCAATATTACAGTCGATGATGAATGCGATCTTGAGATTTCCAGCCCATTGAGCAGTAAGACAATTATCCAAAGAAGAGAAAAGGCCTGACCAAAGTGCCCCCCTTATGCCACCAACTCCATTGAAAGACTTTTGTAGTTTACATTCGGGTATCACGATAGTTTCAATGTCACCTCCCGATGGGGTAGTTGAACATGAGCAGGCCGTTGAGACCCCCAACCCAGCCGTCATCGTCGTAGTCCGACGCGTCGCCTTTGCCTGGTCCGCAAATGACACATGGCACACCTCCCTTCCAGTCACCGTTGCTGGACTCGCCCACCATCTCGCCTTCGACACGGATTTCGGTGCCGATACCTGCACCGGCGCTTCGCTTTCCGTCAATGCTAACCTCCAGCTCACCGTCACGGTTTTTGCTGCTGACTTTGAGTGTGACCTTGGTGTTGAGGGGGAGGACCAGAGGCCGGAAGCTCAAACTCCTGGGGCAGATGGGAGTGATGAGCAGTGACTTGACAAGGGGGTGTATGATGGAGCCACCAGCGCTCAGACTATATGCGGTAGAGCCTGTCGGCGTGCTCAGTAATATGCCATCTGCGACAGCTTCCGTGAGGAATCGATTATTGAGGTAAATGTCGATGTGGGCAAGGTGAGGCTTCGGGCCCCGATGGATGAGGAGTTCGTTAAGGGCGTGAATCGGTTGAGGGATGTCTCGTTTCGAAAGTATTGTGTCTTCGGGATGTTCGGCTGGCAGATGCGCCTGTGACTTCGTCGTCGGGAGTAACTGGCTGCTGATGTTCTGGCCGTTATTATCGTACACGCCGACCCGTAGTCGGTGCCTGAGCAAGATCTTGGCTGCCCGACTCTGCCCCATGCTCTTGCCAGGAGAAGCGTGCCATCCAGACTGAGCCCCGTCCTTGACGTCGTGTTCCTTCTCTCCGCTTGCGACCCTTGTGTGTGGCGTCAATAAATCATCTGCAGCGACGCCGCTCCCACTCATGTACGCCTCTCTCCAGGCCCTCTTGTATTCTTCGAATTTCCATTCCGCCAAAAATCCAATAGTACCAAAATTGAATGCGAGAATCGGTGGCACAGCTTGGTACATGCTGAAGTGGCTCGCGGCGCGCAAGATGGTTCCATCGCCGCCGAGCGTCGTGATCATGTCGATCGTGTCCGGGAACGCCGATGGGTTACACGTGTAGATGGGAAAGTTGAAGGACTCGTGGACCATCTGCGCGACTCTCGGTTCGAAGATCAGGTTCAGGCCAGAGTATGTGCTTTGTAGATGCTTCGCAAAGTCGATGGTCGCTCGCAGAACTTGAGGGGATCGCAGCTTCGGCATCAGGAGGATATTCCGCGGAGGCGTCGGCCAGTGCAGCGACAGCAGGCCAGAGGTCGAGTTCGGAGGGTCGCGGTATTTCGGAACAACTCTCGGTGGGAGAGAGGAGACATCGCGAATCTCGGCAGCCCGCGCAGAGGCAGTTGTCGAAAGGTTCAAAGGTCGAAAAGCTCGAATTTGCGCCGTAGCCCGCGGCCTGACGCACAGCCGGAAGGCTCCTGACCTTGACATTTTGGTATGGCTGAGACTCAAGTGGCAAGAGTGCTCATGGTCGAGCGGTGTGCTCTGCAACCGGTAGAGGTGAGTCAATCGAGCGCGAGATGTGGTGATAGGAAGAGTTGCGTCGCGATGAATTACCAATGACGACAATTCCATTGGAGTGCCCCACTCGAGCTTTTCTTCCGTGCTTCACCGAGCTGAGTCATCCCTGTTCATGCACCTGACCGACGGTGCCGGACCGGACCCGTACGACCCCACATCGAACGTCTCTCCGATCCCGTCGGCCCCACCCACGCTTCCGAGTCAGGCGCCATCATCCGGAGTCAGAATCAGAAACAAGACCACGCGAATGGCTTCACAACAGGTGGGTGTGTAATATTTTGTGATCTCATTATCGTTTGTGCTCATCTATCTGCCAACTCTTCTACATTCGATTCTTTCTATTTCTTTGGCAGCGCAGTAATCTTCTCCTTCAGCTGCTTCCCGGCCAATCGTCCCAGTTGATCAAAGCTCTGAGCGCTTGTCAATTGCAACACACTAATATCCGCACCCAACGTGTGTTTCCACCAGTTGCGAATCTCAATGGTCATGAGAGAGTCGACTCCAAGTGCCGAAGGGGAAAGAGCAGTATCAATACCGCTCTCTTCCACCTCACGCATGAGAAACCCAAACACCCGGCGGGCGATCTCCTGTGCGAGAAATGACGTAGACGCTGTGGTTTCAACGTCTTCTGGCATTGAATACAAACTGGATAGGAACTCAGCTAGGCTTGATGATCCTGCCTCGTTCCGCGAGGCCTTCTCATTCTCTGCAATACCTGAGTAAAGGTTCATGCGAGGATCGTGCTTCCATACTACTCGATTGCCAGAATCATCGATGGATGTGGTGCAGTCAAGGCCAAGTACCAGCTGACCGTTTGAGGCTGGACGGCATGTTCTGTTTTCTGCGTTCACTGTGACTTGTTGACTTTCAGCGATGGCAAGTTGAAGACTTCGGAGCATGTCGTCCTCGGAGACCAACTTGGACCCGGACTTCTTCATGGCATCCTTGACTTCTCGTGTGCGGCTGACGTATCCCACGTCCTCGACGCCCCCCAAGTCAACTACTGTGCAAGGTAGTCCTAAACCACGGCGGTATTGGGTGAACGCGTCGAGAAAGGTATTCGCAGCAGCGTAGTTTGCTTGACCTGGGTACCCGTGTACACCCGATGTGCTACCAAAGAGCACAAAGAAGTCAAGATCGTGAGGTAGGGCATGGTGGAGGTTCCATGTCCCACGTATCTTGGGCGATGTCGCCGTTTGCCACCGCGACAGTGTAAGGTCAGAAACTGCACCATCAGCAAGCACCATTGCCAGGTTCAAAACGCCCGCGATCCGCTTGGATGAAGCGAGTCTGGACATGACCGCCTGCATGGCCGTCTCGTCCGCTACGTCGCATGGTACTGCTTCAGCCTTGCTACCTGCATATTGAAGTTCTGATAATAGAGCTTGATCATCATCGCTACGCCCGGCGGATCTGGAGATGAAGACCAGACTTTTGGCACCGTGGGAGGCCATCCATCGTGCGATTGTACCCCCAAGACCACCCATGCCACCAACAAGTACGTAAGTGGCTTGTTCGCGGAACTTGGCAGTCGACGGCGCCTGAGATACCCTCAATGCCTCCTCATCTGTCTCGGTCATGTCGACAACCACCTTTCCAATGTGAGTACCCTGGTACAAGTATCGAAAGGCATCTTCAGTCTCATTGCATGCAAAGACCTTGACAGGCCTAATAGGCAGGATGTGGCCTTGTCGATACAAGTCAACGCATTGTTGTAACAAGCGAGAGATGATGGCGGGGCTCTCAGCGGCCAGATTCGCCATCTCGACGCCAATGAAGGACCGATTTCCATCAAAGCCCGCCATGGCAAGTTTTCCACCTGCCAAGGTGTCTTTCTTCCCAAGTTCGATAAAGGTACCATGAGGAGCGACACAGTCCCACGATGCATGGAGAAGCTCCCCAGTCAGAGAGTTCAGCACGACGTCAACGCCGAGGCCACCAGTAATTGTTTTGATGCCCTCCACGAAACTGACATCTCGAGAGGAAAAAATGTGCTCCTTGGGGACATTCCACTCTCTGACAAGGAAACCTGCCTTTTCATCGTTGCCTACAGTCGCGTAGACTGTTGCTCCAATCCACCGAGCTACTTGCAAGGCCGCAATACCAACACCACCGGCCGCGCTGTGAATAAGCACAGTTTGACCAGCCCGGAGGCCCGCTTTATCTACCAGGGCCCTAAGAATGGTGGTGAACACACACGGGATACCCGCCGCATCAGTAAAGCCGAGCGTGTCAGGAACGGCTACGCAAAGCTGGGCTGGGGCCAGTATCTCCGTAGAGAAGCAAGCCGCCTCGGGCGCGAAGACCATGACGCGATCACCCACGCGAACATTCGTCACAGAAGTTCCGATGGATGTCACGATACCGCTAGCTTCACATCCGAGTCCTTTTGGAGCCGAAGGTTTGATCAGGCCCATGGCTGTGACGACGTCTTTGAAGTTGAGACCTGCTACGCAGACGTCAATCTTGACGTGGTCGAATGGAATGTCTTCGGGCAGCTGGCGAGACTCCCAGTGAAGGGTCTGTAGGGCCCCAGATCTCGAGATTTGCAACATCTTGCTGGCAGAGACTGGAATCTCGGATGCAAGAGCCCGAGAAATTGGCGTCCACTTGCATCGAGGAATATGGATGCGGTCCGAGGAGTAGGAGAATTCCATATCTTGACCCATTTTGGAAGTCAAGGCCGCGTTCTGGGAGAATGTCTTCCTCAAGACCTGAGATACGGCTTGCAAAGAATCTTCGTCAACACTATCAAGCTCCATGGTGGCAAATTGCACACCCATCTCGACTCTTGCTGTTCTCGCGATGCCGAGCACCGGAGCGAAGGTCGGATCTACCGAACCGGACTGGCAGGGCCGTGTAAGCCAGAGTAGGCTCGACTTCGTGTCCTGTAGATGCTTCAAGAGCCCCTTGAGACTGTCTAGCTTGATTTCCGTCATGTCGTGAAAATAACCGTCACCACGGCACAGGTCAACTATCGACATTACTATGCTACTAGCATGTGGGTTATCGCAGCCTGGCGTGGAAATGGTGATAGAGTGACCGAGACCTCTCAGAACTTGGCTGACCTCGACCACCACCGAATTAAACATTTCTTCGCATAGCAATGTTATATGCTGTGAGCCGAGGTTGGCAAAGCCCTTGGTCACAAGAGGGCGAGCGATGATGGTTGCGTTAAGCTTCTGTTGCGGCTCAGCATCGTAGATTACCTCTGGCGCTGAGAATCCGGCCATAGATAGACGCTCCTCCCATTGCTCAGGAGAGATGTAAGGCTCTTCCGAGCGGCTGTCAGAGTCTCCGAGCCACCACCCTGAAAGATAACCCATGATGAAATTGATCCATTTCGTGTTGCAGCAAAGCTCGTGCATCAATAGTCTTCCGTCAGGCTTTAGCAGTGATCTGACATTTTTCAGAGTCTCGTTCAGCTTTGGAGTGGCATGGAGCACGTTACTCGCCACGATGAGATCGTACTCTTCAACACCGAATCCCTGATCAGCTGGATCACAACTAATATCCAAGACACGATAGTCCAAGAACCCGGGAGTAACATCACGAAAGCGCTTTTTCGCTGCCGGGAAAAACCCAGCAGAAACGTCTGTGAAAACGTAGGTCCCGAGGGCCTTGCCATCCTCGAAACAGTCTGTCAGATCTTTCAGAATCCGGGAAGTCAAACCCCCGGTTCCGGCGCCGATCTCGAGAACCCGCAGGTGGCGACCTCGTTTGTGGGACAGTAATTGTAGGAGGGGCTTGTAGGTAAAGAGGGTGTTCATCCAGTCGTATAATTCGTGAAGTGCGTTGTCTTTGAGGAATACCTCGAGAGGGCTGTTTGTGCCGTCAAAAAGTCCCGCGGCATGAGTGTAACAGCGCTCTATGAGAGTAGCCACTGCGGATGCAGAGGTCTTTGCGAGCCTTGACACGATGTCAACTATCTTCGCCCGAATCTGCTCGGTGCCCATGTCAAGCAGTTGTGGACTAGACTTGCTGACGTGGGACCGTAGCCAGCTGTGATGCTTCGCCAAATGTGTCTGAGTCTCGCTGATAAGTATGCTTCTTTCGTCTACTTGCTTGAGTGCCGCTGCACCGCAAAGTTTAAAGAGCTCCTCGAGAAGCTGATGTGTCTCTGGGAAGGATGGGTCAGAAGCAGACGACACCAAGTCCGCAGAATCCACCATGTCAACGTCTCGTTCCCAAGACATGACTGCAAACTTCGAACTATCCGCTGAGCTAGCACCGGTATCATCTAGATCGACTGGTGAGAGCCGAAGGCCTTTGATAAAGACGGCGGGTTTGGCTCCGGGACCATCACACACTGCCCCCAAGCAATCCCCTTGATAGTCTGTCTCACCACCGGTCTTCACACTCTGGAGTAAAAGTCCTTTCGTTGAAGCTTCCGAAGTGATAAATAGCTCATCAATGTGAGTCGGCAGATACAATCTTTTCAGCAAACGAGGTTCACCGGAGTGATTCGCGATGATGAGCGACTGGAGCATCTGATCGATCGTGATGGGGTGCAACGGATAGCGACCCTGGTGCTCAGGCGTATCTCTCTCATCAGAAACATCGACTGCTACAGCTGACGAATTGACGCTTGCACGAATCTTCTTCATACCTCGGAACTTCGGGCCGTAGTTGTATCCCACTCGCGACATGGATTTGTACCATTGCGATGGCTCAACAGTCCGAAGGAAGGATTTTGCGTCAAGTCCAGTGAAGTCCGGACCGGTAGAAACGCGACCACCTCGGGCACGACATCGGCAGTGTGTTGTCAATGTGCCGGATGAGGTGCAACTCTGAATCGTGAGCTCCCGCCAATCCGAAGTCTCCTCGCAAGTGAGCTGTTCCCCTCTCGCGGAAGTCAATAGCTCGACTTTGCTACCCTGCGAGAAAACCAGAGCGTTCGAGATTCGCAAGTCACGGATAGTGTAGGACGACTGCCCAGAAAGCTGCCGGATGACTTCACCAGCCATCGCGATGTAACCGGCGGCTGGGAATACCACATCCGAGCCGACGCAATGGTCCGCAAGCCAGGGAGCATTGTCCTGTGAGAGAAGATGCCTCCAACTCGGTGCTGTACTTGGGTTTACCAACGTGCGTGATCCAAGCAGCTCGTGTGGCGGTTGTTCAGGAAACTGCCAGGAATTTGTGACGCGCGAATCTGGCCAGAAAGCCTTGCTCAAATGCCACGGGTATGGTGGCAGGTCTGTCAACGGCCGAACCCCGTCCGGAATGGGAAACTGGACGGGAACGCCTCGGCAGTGCAGCTCGCCAAGAGCAGCAAGAAAGGCTGCCGCGCTATTTGAGCCTCGTTTTTGAACGGAGATATAAGGTGGGGAGATGGCCATCTCCGTGTAAATCTGCTTCAAGGGGCCGGCCAGCGCTGAGTGTGGTCCAACTTCGAGATGCAGCGTCGTCGATGATGTTTGGAGAAGTTGTACTACAGCTTGTCGGAAGAGCACAGGTGATTCCAGATTCCGCTGCCAGTAATTGGCGCCAAAGTCGGAGCCGCGTTCGAGAATTTGGGATGAGACGCTGGAATAGAACGCAACGTTTGGCGACTTTGGACTGAGGTGTGGCTTGAGGAGAGACTGGTATTCGATGCCGATTGCACGCATGTGATCTGTAGCAAGAAGATGTCACCAAAAGTTTGCCATGGCAGGTTCTAGCTCTTGACTCACGAGAATGGTATGCCTTGTCAACCTTTAGCAAACGCACTAGAGTATCTGGCCGAGCAGACCTGATTGCGCTGCAAACCGTCTCAAGGGCATCCGTGTCTCCGGACAGAGTCACACTCGAGCTGCTGTTTTCACAAGCGATGACGACGTTAGGCATTAAGAATGGTATGACCTGCTCTCTTCCCAGTCCAACCGCCGCCATAGAGCCTTGGGATCTCAATTTCTTGACCATGAAACCGCGATAGTAAGCGACGATGATTGCTTCTTTCAGCGAGAGAACACCGGCCGCGTATGCAGCGGCTATCTCACCGCTGGAATGGCCGACAACTGCCTTGGGCGTAATTCCATATCTGGCAAGGTGTCTAGTCAAGGCAATTTGGACCGCAGTGCAAATGGTTTGCGCGAACTCTGCTTCCCCAAGGCGAGATGTGGAATCCGATCTCATTAGCTCGTCTGGTTCACGTCCATGTTAGTTGGAGATACTTTTTGGTTGCTTCTGTGGGAAGGCTGCACTGACTTCTAATATTCCAGCTTGGACGGTGTTCTTGCGAGAGGCTCTTTAAGACGACGTCCATTTCCCTAATGTCTTGCAGGAAGTCCCTACTACTTTTCATCAGATGCCCACCCATCCGGGCCCATTGGGCGCCTTGGCCGGTGAAAATAAAAGCGATACCCTCAGTTTGTGAGCTGGGGCGGAAAGCAGGCGTGGGAGGAAGCGTGAAAGCCAATTGGTCGCAGTCATCGGTAACTACAGCAAAGGTGCGGTGCGCTAGATGGGAGCGGCGATGGATCAACGTGTATGAAAGGTCTTCCAACTTTGCAGGCCTAACGCGAAGAAGCTCCTGGTATTCGTACACAGCGCCCTTGAGTGACTCTTCGTGTCCCGCGGAGAACAGTAGTAGCGTTGCTGGGTCTCTTCTGAGAGGAGGTGACGGAGGCGGGGTCTCGACATTTCCACGGCTTCGAATGGTGGTCGGACTTCCTACTGTCGCCGCAGATTCTAGGATAATCTATCTACGTTAGCTCACAACGCTGAAGGATGTTGATTGAACGTCATACATGGACATTGGTGCCTCCGATTCCAAAGCTATTGACACCGATTCTCTCTGCCCTTTCTTCAGGCCAAGACTGCGGTTCTGTAGGGACCTTCAAGCCTGCTGATGCGAAAGGAACTGTTGATGCTAATCAGCCCATACCGCTGTCAAGAAGAATGCACCAAACTTACTGCTGACACTAGGGGTATCGAATTTGATGTTAGGCATAATGGTTTTCGTTTCCAAAGACACAACTGCCTTGATTATGCTTGAAATAGCCGAAGCTGCTTCAGAATGGCCCAGGTTGGGTTTGATCTGAGGAAATGTGAACAGTAATTCGCGATGAGATGCCGCGAATAACACTCACTGATCCGATAAGCATTCCCTTGTCTCCAAACACTGCGCCAACAGTGCACGCCTCAATGGTATCACCCACAGCCGTGCCGGTGCCGTGGCACTCAACCATAGCGGTCTGCCATATCTCGTTCTCTGGTATGCCTGCGTGTCGATATGCATCGCGAATCAACTGCTGCTGTGCTTGTGCACTTGGTGTGGTCAGGCCGAGCGTCCTGCCGTCAGAGTTCGTTGCTGATCCACGGATGATGGCACGAATCGGATTCCCGTCGCGAATCGCGCAGTCAAGCCTTTTGATATAGAGGCAGTTGACGGCTTCCGCACGGGCATAGCCGTTCGCGCTGGCGTCAAACGTCTTACACGAGGCATCGGGCGAGAGCACGCCTTGCTCGGCCATGAGTTTGGTGAACCCTGGCGAGAGCATCAAATTCGCTCCGGCGACGATTGCTGAGTCGCATTCTCCGCCGCGTATTGCCTGGCAGGCTAAGTGGACTGCCAAACCGGCAGCTGAGCATGCTGTGCGAACGGTCATGCTATCCAGGAAAAATGTTAGTTCATGCGAGGATCTTTAAATCATGACAAGGAGAAAATCACCTTGGACCTCGTAGATCAAAAGCATGAGAAATGCGGTTTGCCTGCACAAAATCCATGTATCCAGTCAAGCGATACATGCCGTCGTCTTGAGCATCGACGGCGTGCATTTCGCGCCAGTCGTCCCCAAAACTGCCAACATAACACCCAATCTTCTGGCCCTGCCACTCTGTTTCGGCAGCACTCTCCAGCGCTTCCCAGACGACTTGCAGAAGCAGCCGCTGCTGAGGGTCTAGTTTCAGCAACTCCTTGGGATTCATAGAAAACAGTGATGGGTCAAATTTTGAGACATCATCGTGCGAGAGCCAGTATCCTTCCTCGGTCGGCAAATGCCCCGATTTCCCGCTCGCTGTGAAATAGTGGTTTTGCGAGCTGTATCGCGGATGATCTGGTTTGGAGCGGGCATCTTGGCGGTTGATGAGGAAATTGTATAGCGCTGTTGGGGTATTGATACCGCCTGGTAACCGCAGACCAATGCCGCAAATCGCTATGGGCTCTGGCTTTGACATGGCTAGTGCTCAGTGCAACTTTCCCTGGAAAGGAGGTTCTTGTTTGTGGCGGTGATGGCGGCGCTGTGTGGTGTCAGTTGTTTGGTGGGAATGAGACCAAACAACTTGCATGTACAGTTTCCCAAATCTACTGAATACCAATCGTCAAGTTGCCAACCGCTGAGTGCGACCAAAGACCAGAAATCTGCTGACAACGCTGGTCGAACGCTATCTTCCGAGCAGTGCAAAGCCTGGAGCTCCAGACAAGATTCCCACATGTCTATCCTCCATGCCCATGTCTCCTAGGCCCCTGAATTCGGTTCGGACCGCATGAAGAGAGCCGTTACCAAAGTTCGGACCGGCTCAAACCGGGGAGCTTTACAGTTGACTCGCCCGCCAAACATCACGCCAAACCGAAATCCATTCAGTTGGCCAGCTCTAGCCTAAGAATTCACACATGGATTACCTATCCGACCAACTGAACTCCATTGCAAGGTCGCAAAGCAGCATCAGATGAATCCATCAATCCCGTACCAAATTGGGATTTTTTGACTCAACTATGTGCCAAAAGAATTACATGCGTACTAAAATAGCTGGAGTTGTTCAAAGCCCTGTCACAAGAAGTGCGAGCCATGGAGAAGCTGAAATCAGTCTTCTGGCAATCTACGCCAAGATACAATGCTGTGCGCACAAGCCAGTCCGATGATGACGACCAGCAGGAAGGCGTGGAAGAGAAGCTGCGCAGTGAACTCGCGGCATTGGAGAGCAACATTTGGTGTCTGCGCACAAGTCTACTCATCACTATCGTAGCGCTTCTGCTCGTGATTGTATTCGCGGTGGTCGATCGAGTTTCATATGATAAGGCGTCACTTAATTGTGGAAAAGGCCACATAGGTAGCGACCCGAATGGCTTCGTACCTCCAGGTGAGTTGTCTCTTCCCCGTGAAATCGGCGCTTCGACACCTTGACTTACAAGCTTGCTTCAGGTATTGGTGAACCACCGAGGTGGACGCTGTTTGATAGCACGTCGCCATATTACATCGAGGAGGATACTTTCTATGATTTGAACAAGACTAAGATGATGGCCAAAAGACTGAAGAGTCTTCACAACTGTATGACCACATACGTCCACTAAGTTCAAGAGAATTCCGCTAATACAACGCCAGCCTCAAACGTCCTTGTGAATGGCAACTTCGCAGATTGGAAGAAGCCAGACGGCACGGTTGCGAAGCTGCCAGCATATTATTCTACAGTGTCATACCGACAAACTTACATCATCCGTTCTTTTCACCAGATGCATTGTCTTGTGAGTACCAGCAACACTCGATGACTGAAAGCTTTCTAATTGCCGAGTAGATTTCTATTGCCGAGGAATATGGCCACAGGGCCAACAACGTTTCGTCTCAGTGGGCTCCCAAGCACATAGCCCACTGTCTCAACGCGATCCGCGAAGCCATCATGTGCTTAGCGGACGCTACGCCAATGACCTACGTGAACGGCTTCGCTGTCGGTCATGTCACGGATGACCAGCAATTCATGTGCAGAGACTGGTCAGCGCTGCGCAGGTGGGCGAACGATCCGGTGAGGGGAATTCGCTACAAGAATGTTGCTCCCGAGGGAGCGGGCTATGACAACAATACGGAGATTATCCCCTTCCCAGAGCTCTCTGAGTTGGAGAAGGTCGGTTTGGCTTAAAATTTGGCGCTGGTCTGACAACGAGCCTCGAATCAGTAGGCTCAGTGGAGACGGCAATGAGGTACGGTGGGCGGCGGAGGAAGTGAGAGGAGGATAGCGCCGTTCACACCTTTCCGCAGAGAAGATTGGCACAATATTAGATCTAGAGAATACATGTATCATGCTACCGTTGAATAAATCATCTTTGTATGAAACCCAAGGTTCAGTATATTTTTATTTTTTTGTTCGCTTCCGACCGCTACAGCTACGTGTACCATTTTGTCATCTGAATTCGCTCAACCTGTGTGTTTGTTGAAGATGCCGAGCTGTCTAAGAAAAATCACAAGCTCACTACAGTACGCGCTGTAAGAATCAAATACCCCATTTCAGCTTGCCGCCAGATGCTGTCCCCCGCCTCTCGAAACAAGCTAACCGACCAAACAGTCTATCTCGTGAGGCTCATTATACACCCGAGTGATGTTTGGCAAGTCAATCTCCCATGATTGCGGAATCCCGTTGTACAAGATGCAGTGCTCAACATGTTTCGGGTCCCGGCAAAGAGAGTCCAGAACTCGAGGCTTGAAATGGGAAGCATACGTGATCCTATCCCAAACATAGCTGCAATGCATGTGGTGGATCGTGCCGTCTGTGAAGATTTCGCCGTGCTCACCACTGGCAGCCACATCAAACGGAACCTCGTTGATGCGTTCTCGTTCGTACCAATACGTCGTGTTCCTCCACTTCATGTAGCCTAGGTATTTCTCATGCATCTCTTCATTGAAGCATCGGGGATGCATCCACGTAGAGAGCATGAAGTCGTAGACACATCCTCGGGCTTTGGACTCCTTCCAGTCCGGAGAGCATTTGCCTAGCGATACAGGCTCGGGCGGTCGTGCGGGGGTCATGTCGCGGGTTATTCGCCCTAGGTAGAAGATTCCGACTGCGAGGGGGATGAAGACGAGTTTTCCGGCTGTTGCCCAGATGCCGCTGCGGCGCGCTTTTCGTTTCCGGGGGGTTTCGGTGCTGTAATCCACTGAATCGGTCTCATCATGGTAGCTGTTTCGCTGTGAGCTCGAGCCCTCGCCTTGGGGTTGTTGCGGGAGAAAGGCGTGTTTCTCCATGTCGAGATTCGTGGATCAAAGTGCAAGTTGGTTGAATGAGCTGTGCCGAACGGTGATCGCTGGAAACCACTGATTATCCAGGCGTTAGAGCCTGTAAACAGCCCTGTTGATAATTCAAGATGGTTCTTTGGCATGGATATGGGGGGTAACATCAGCTGGACACCGAAAGAGTTCGGATACAACTGCGGATAAGGTTGGGGCATATCTCGGACCGTAGGCAGAGTGAGCCAACATCCCGCCCTGGCTGCCAAGTCATGGGAAGCAAAGAACTTACCTCGAGGCTTTAGTTGTTTTCAGAGAGAGAGGACGACTTTCAATTCTGTGAATAGTCCCCAAAGCCGGGGTTGCAGCATCACCCATCCTCAAGTTGCTTGCTCAGACTGCTGCCGGAAAACACGAAAACTCTTCCACCATGCCTGCTGCAAACCCGGTCTTGATCCAAGACATCCCACGATCTCGTAACGAGCCACCACCGGTATTCTTGATCCACGATGCGAGTGGGCTTCTCACTAGCTACTTCAAGGTTGGAACGTTAGGACGTAAGGTCTATGGAATATGGGACCCCAAGTTCGATGCGGATGGCATTGGCGGATGGCAGAGCGTAAAGGAAATAGCAGAAGCATACATCCGCCTGATCAAAAGAGTCATGCTTCGAGGAGAAATCGTTCTTGGTGGTATGTGGCATGACACTCTTCATCATTTACTCCAAACGCTGATCGCAATACAGGATGGTCATTCGGCGGTGTCCTTGCAGTGCAAATCGCTCACATGCTAGCGACCTCAGGTCGTGGCCTACGCGTGTCGCGAATAATTCTCATCGACTCTGTCTACCCCCGTTGCCCTCGGCCAGAAGCTCAAAAAGAGCCAGCAAAGTTACACCACGCCCCAGCTTTACCCGGCGTCAACCAAGAGACGCGCGACAAGCTCATGACGGCCCTCATGCGAGCCACATGTCTGTCCGACCAGTGGGAGCCCCCGGCGTGGTCGCTGCCGAGGACCGGTGTTCTTGGAACGGCCCGCTCCCGGGACGTCGACCCAACCCCGCCACATGCAGTGCTCATCCGAGCCAAGGACTTGGTGCCCATGGCGGACCCGGGTGAAAAGTGTCCTCTAGATAGAACTCGATTCTTGCCTCAACTTGGTTGGGAAGATATGCTCGAAGGCTTTGTGGAGCAAGTCCTCGAGACTTCTGGTAATCACTACAGTGTATTCGATCAAGAACACGTAAGTGGTCATTGAAAACCGCACAAGATGTTACAGAACCATCTGCTGATCGAAAGAGAAAGATTGATACTGTCACCGCGCTCATTCGAAAATCTTTAGACATGAATCTCGATTGCTAGGGGCACGTACGGATCTAGAGGATTAACTCAACATCGAATGCAGCCCTGTCTGTAGCCGCCGAAGCCTACCCCACTGAAGACCTTACTCCACGATTTTTGACGCAGGACGACTCTAACATTGACATGATGTATGTGCTGTCGAATATTGTTTCTAGTAGAACGAATTGAAGGTTCACATCGCCAAACTTGCATTTACCTAGATACATCGTTCCTTTAGTAAGAACTGGAGATGAATTCATACTTTTACCTAGACTCGTTATTGCACGGCTGCAATATGCATCCATTACCGGTTCTCGAATCCTCCTTGAACTATCGACTTATTTGTATCTTAGTTCACTGTATGCAGTTTACTAAACATAACGGCACCTGCAATCGTCAAATTCCCCGGAATCATTTTGTGTCTCGTTCATTTGCAATAACGATCCTTATTACATAGTAAGAGACGACTCTAGTCTACAATCTCATCATATTTATCCTTCTCATCCTCTGGTGCAACATTGACCCATTTCACTGCCCGTACTGGGTCGTGGGCCCACTCCCTCAGCGCAAAGAAGTCCCTACAATGACTCTGTTGATCGTCTGTAGTGTGACCAATACCCATCCCATGGACGTAGGAAATTGGCGTAGCGTCCGCTAGGCATGTTATCGCTGACCTCACCGTGTTCAAACAGTGAATTACATGCCCTGTATCCCACTTGGACGTCTTGTTGTTCACTCTATATCCAATATCCTCGAAGATGATTGACTGGAAACGCGTTATTTGCTTACTTCTTGGAACCATCCTTTCGTTGGAGGTACTTACTATGCAGTGCATCTGGTGGAAGGCTCGGATGCTGTACAGCTCTGAACCTTTGCGGGTGACGTACGCAGGGAGCGGTTGTTGATTATTATCGAAATCCATGTACGTGCTGTATTTTCCGTTTATTTTGACGTTTGATGCTGTGCATTGAATTAGCTGAACTAGATCTCATCTAGTGGAAACGTGTCAACGAACCGTTGTGTGACATTTTGAAATCCCTTGCCGCAGCTTGTACACTTTCGAGGTTCTTGAACACGTCGGGTTTGAAATAGTGAGGGTCAGTCTCGTCGTCGTACTTTGCCCACTTAACAGGCTGTCCGATTTCTGTGGCTCAAGTTAGGGGGCACAGTTTAGCGTCAAGGAAGACCTTAACTCACCTGGAGGGACAAAACCACTGGGGTCAACTCCCAATGGGGTTGCTTCTTCTCGCGACCACACAGTTCCGATGTGGAGAGAAACGATGTATCCAAGAAGAATTGTCAGTAGAATGCCCTCGACCCAGGCTATCCGTCGAATCTTGCGAAGGCGCTGATCCCAAAAGACACGATCTCGATTCCATTGATCTGGGAATGCTGGCGAGTTACTGCGCTGGTCGCTGTGATCTAGCTCCATACCTCCGAGGCTTTCAAGTCCGTCATCATCAGTTTCGCCCTCTTCCAGCACGTCGTACTTGGCTGTTTTTCTCATATTGTTTGCAAAGGTGACGTTCTTGACCATCGTTGTTGGCTGCCTGGACAATACGCAAAACAGGGCGATACAAAATCTCGGGGAATGACAGATACGGTTAAACCAGCGTGATTAACAGACCTCAGCTTTCCTGGCGCCGTCTTTCCATTGAAGCCCAATAGCAGGAAAACTGGCAGCTCACGCTCCTACAGCTGAGCTTAAGCAGCGGACCGAAGTGGCCTGCGTGAAGGTTTAGTAGGCCTGTTTCAATCAGCCAAGCCCCATTGCGGACCGAAGCTTGCACGGAGCTACCCCGCCGCTGTCGGACTCGACTCGGAGCTTTACTTTCCTAGTGAGGAATGCTTGCGGACCCGCGGATGGTGTGGAAGCAAGAAACCCCGCTGTCAAGGTGTGCAGAGCGAAGAGAGCAAGCTACTGAGGTCTCTGGTCTGTCTACAGCAAGTTTGAGCTGGGAGAGACGACTAAAAGTTGATTCAACGCTTTACTTGAGATCTTGGACTGAGGTATTATCCAGATTTCATCAGAAATGGAAGCCAAGAAGGATGAAGTGACTTGGCGGTCTCTGCCGCGAAAAGACCAGCTCGCGATTTTGTGTTTTCTACGGTTTGCTGAGCCGGTAGTGAGCATCTCACTGCTGGTGAGTACAATGTTGCCACCACGAAGATGAGCACATTAGGGGTTCGCTGACAAGGCCTCTTAGACCTATTTGTTCTATCAGCTGCAGTCTTTAGACGTAACGCTGGATTCGGGAGCGATTGTCCGACAGGTCGCCTACTTGCAAACAAGTTTCATGCTATCACAATGTTTCTCGTCAATGTTCTTGGGGAAACTGGCCGATTCTCCCCGTGGCGGTAGAAAACTTGTTCTCATGGGGGGTATAGCTGGATCATGTGAGTTCCTGCATCATACGGACTGAATGTGCCATCAGGGCGATGTTCGGCAACTAAAGTTTGTGTTTGAACACGTAGTCATCGGATGCGTTGCGTTCGGATTCATCACGGATTTCAAGCAGGCACTGGCATTGCGGATCCTCGAAGGTTTGGTGAACGGAAATGTGGCGACAGTGAGGACGATGGTGTCAGAGGTTGTCATTGAGAAACGGTCAGTCGGTCATATCACTGAAAATTTCAAGTTAGAGCTAACGAGTAGGGAAGATTTCAGCCTCATGCATTCTTATTGCTCCCAATCTCCTTCAATGTTGCCGCCATGGCCAGTCCCCTGATGGCTGGGCAGCTGGCCGATCTGCCGGGGAAATATCCGGACAGATTTGGCAATAACGCATTTCTAAAAGCATGGCCATATTCACCACCCGCAATCCTTAGCGGAGGCATCATGCTTTTAGCCTTCTTCGCCGTTTTCTTATTCTTGGAAGAGGTGAGCTCGTGACTTGTTATCTGGGATCGCTGATCCGAGCTCACAGTTTTGGCTTCTGCAGACCCTAGAACCCCTGAAAGATAGATACGATCCTGGCGTCGCCTTTACCAGAAGGGTTCGCTCGCTATTGTTTGGAACCAAAATTTCGACAGCGACCAGATCAGCCCACGAGGAAGCCACAGATGAAGAAATGTCGCATATGATCGCGGACGATTCGGATCCATCCGAGAGGGATTCCGAGGAGCAAAAATTACCGATGAAGGCAGTCAAAACGACTCCTATCATTCTGCCGACGAAGCGCATGTTCACGAGAAATATGTGTCTCACGCTTGTATCCTACGCGATCCAAGAATATCACATCACGACGTACAACACGCTATGGACGAGTTTTCTGAGCGACCCGGTTGACAAAGACGGAAAACGGAGGCTCCCGTTTCTCTTCTCTGGCGGAGCCGGCATGAAGCCAGATCAAATCATGTGGTCTCTTTTCATCGTCGGCATGATGGGATTGCCCACACAGCTGTTCATATATCCCCGTATCAGTCGTCGCCTCGGCACTCTGAAGATGTGGCGCAAGTTCATGCTTGGAATGCCTCTCCTGTATTTTATCTTGCCCTACATCGCGGCTATGCCTTCGACTAGTTCACCACCAGCTGGCAAAACCGGGTTCATGGTGTGGTTCCTGATCATTCTGGTCCAAATCATGATGGTGGGGACGTCCACTTTTGTCGTACCTGCGCAACTGGTACTGACCAACCTGTGAGTTGAGCTTGATCGCCTACTTGCCTTACCTACACACACTTACGTGCTTTTCAGGTCTTCGCCGCATCCATCTGCTCTAGCACGGACTCATAGCAGCGCATTCTTACTGTCTGGTTTGATGAGGTCCGCAACTTCATCCATAGCGGGAATTGTGTATAGCTACGGGTCGTCCCATAATATCACTGGCCTGGTCTGGTGGATTGCAAGTGGCGTAGCAGTCCTCGGATGTCTGAATAGTCGCATCGTGAACGAAGGAAACGGCCACGAAATTTGGCTGACTGGCGACACTGAGTAGAATGCAAGATTGCTATATAGTTACTGGCGATGTTTCAATAAGGCACACTGTATCATGTAGATAGAAAGCATCTCATTCGACAATACCAGATTCAGCTCTCGTCAACATCAAAGTCTTCAACATCATGTGAGTCAGTGTATAGGCACGGTCGCGCGCACTTTCGGTTCTTCATAAACGCTTTCGAGGTCGCGGCGGGCAACCTGTTTCCAATCCGAGCATGTTATTGATAATTACCACGTACTTGCTTTGTTCAGCATCGTAGCTAGATAATTGTGAGGCGAAACAAAAGTTTTGATTCCAACGACCAGTCTGCTGTTGAAGCTACTTCGTCTAGCGTAATCAAAAATATTTTAACATATACCGCCAGGTTCCCGAGAGGACAATCTGTACGGTTTTAACCCTTTCCCCTGTGACTTCAATTTGAACTCCACCAACAGTCCCGGAGTGGCAAAGACAAACAGAGACTACTCAATGTCCTCGTCAGTGATGAAGGCGCGCTTATCTTCCGTGACAAATCCTCTCTTGTGGGGCTCAGTCACGAAAGATCGCTTCTCCTCAGTGACAAACCCGCGCTTCTCAGGCTCGGTGACGAAGCTGCGCTTATCCTCGGTAACGAAACCACGCTTCTCGGGCTCAGTGACAAAACTACGCTTGTCTTCAGTTACAAACGCTCTCTTCTCAGGCTCCGTAAGAAAGCTACGCTTATCCTCGGTGACGAAACCACGCTTCCCGGGCTCAGTGACAAAGCTTCTCTTCTCCTCGGTAACAAAGCCACGTTTCTCAGGCTCAGTAATGAAGCTGCGCTTGTCCTCGGTGACGAAGCTACGCTTGTCCTCAGTCACAAAAGACCTCTTCTCGGGCTCGGTGACGAAGCCACGCTTCTCCTCAGTGACAAATCCTCGCTTGTCCTCGGTAACAAAGCCACGTTTCTCAGGCTCAGTAATGAAGCTGCGCTTATCCTTAGTAACGAACCCGCGGGGATCTATGCCAATTAGTTGAAGAGCTATCTAAGTGTGGTTGAAAGGGTGTCCAGTTATACTTACCAAGCTCTTCAGTGACAAAAGCCCGTTTCTCCTCTCTCTGGATGGCTGGGGCAGCGACGGCAGTAGCTGCGAGAATTGCAACGGAAGTAAGGGCGGTGAATCTCATATTGCCGGTGTTGAGCGGTGATGGTTTACGTTGGTTGTGTGTTGTTCTTGTCTGATTGATAAGATGAAGAAACGGAACGAACAGTGAGGTGTGTGGGATGTAGCTCGGTCATATAAGTCGTTGCTACCTCCTCTTTGAGTTTGTCTTGCGAAATCCTTGCATCACACAAGTACTGCTGGCCGCGTTACCTGCGGTATTCAATTGCCTCAAGGTTCTCAGGAATATTTCCATTTGAACACATCGGCTTAGACATGAATGAATAATGTTTCGGCTCGAGACGTATATCCGCGGAACCGATCATCACAAAAAGCATGGCTAGCAAGAATGACTCGATTTGAAAAGGTTGCCTAGTTTACCCGCGCTACCTTATTACTGCCATGGCCCAAAAGAGGACCCCCGCCGCGTTTGAGTCCTAGTATGCAGCCCTGACAAGGCCAAGATGATAGTTTGGGCACGCATACAAAACTCTTCCAACCTTGAGCTTGCTGAGTGGGATGGCGGAAGCTTAAAATTTGGAAAGTGGGATGCTTTTGAGAACCAGTAGCTGCCCTGCTACGCTCATAGAACCCTGATCCTTATTGTGAACCTAGTTGAGCGCGAGGTTTTGACGACAGTTTCACTCTCGGGTATTGGCAATAGTTTGCTTTGTTTGGACAGCCCAATGACGGACGAGTTCCCGGAAGTCTAGAGTATAGTACACGTACACGTCGTACTCGGGGCAATGTGGTTGACTTGAAACGAACCTCGTTACCCACCTATGAGGAACCGAGGACTCTACATGTACTGGTATGTTTAACGTTGCGAGGACTGGAGTTATGCCCATAATGATGCTTAGACAAGTACATTGCGAGCCCGAGAACGAAACTATTGGCTATCCAGTCTGGTACTAATCTTCTCCGCCGAGATGGAAGTGGCTTATTCCCTTGGCTTGTGATCATATTCCTTGTTCGCTCCATGAAGGTGAGAATGCCCATGCACTTCAGCTAGCTGTCCGTCGCTGCCAAGCCCCTTATCCACTCCAGGCTTCAAATCGAACTGATGAACGGAAATATCGCTGGGTGGTCGACAAGAAGTGAAGCGTGGCCAGTAGGGGATGCTCACATGGTCCTTGGGCCTTGCATAGTCTTGCATCAACGCATGGTCTAGGCACTGGTGATAGTCGATGGTTCCAGAAACCAGACCGTGCGCGATCTTGACCTCTTTCTTCCAGAGAAACGCGCAAGAGTAAAGGTGGAACTCCCATGTCGTCCAAGCCTGTCCTTGAGGGATCTTCTCCACGTCAGACCAGGATAGCTCGGTGGTCGAATTCCGAGATGTGAAGAACTTCCATGGGCGTGTCTGGCGGAACTCGGCATCCAGAGCCGAGTCGAAACATTGCGGAGGTTGCCATGTCGCCGTGTACGACTCGAACTTACACCCACATGATGATGCAGTGGAAGCGTCTCTGCCGCAAGGGAACTTGTCCTTCAGCAGACTGGTGATGAGTCCAAGATTTGTGTCGGATTGACCGTGGTTCCCGTGTTCAGTTCCATAGAACGGGGAGATGGGGACCAGTAGCGTGAAAAGAGTGCTGATTGATACGCCTAAGAGGAAAAGAAGAAGTCGGAGACAAGGCGAAAGGCTATTGTCGATGTTTCTGTTGAACCTCGTGACCTTTTCGGGGTGATTTGCCATGATTGCACGTTGATAGCGATGATTACTGGAGGTGAGCGATAGGCAATCTTGTTGAACGAGCGATAGATAAGATATGTCAACATTGCATGGCATTTGTCCCTGACTTAACGCCATGCGGAGAAGATATCTTCCACGTCATCCTCTCTGATTCAGCTTGTAGCTGGGATACGTTGCTCGCTTCCAGCTAGAACAGGGCGGCGAATAGGAAAGTCTCCGTGTCTTCTGCCCGGCTCCTCCTACAGATCGATTACCTTCCGACACCGACGTCCGTATTCGTTAGTGCATTTATAGTACCACTTACAGCAAGTAGTTCCACCTGTTTACTTGGTATGATCCCGGTAAGAAGGAATAAGCTCTTCTCCCAGGTTCTGTGCTTGGTAGGTTGGTCCTTGGGACGTTCTCGATTGCGTCTTATGACTTTAAGTCTGAATTGTGACACACGCTCCAAGGGCCACAGCGAGAGCTTGGAGAATTTCCCGGGTTCCGCACCCATGCTTCCTAGGCGAACCTAGTCTTCTGTACTGCATACCTTCTGTCTCTTAGTTCTTGTATAGCCTCGGCGTAGAAATCTCTAGCAAGAAAGTTCGCCTCACGTATTCTGCGGCAATCCAGAGAACCTGTAGTCCTCCCCGGCCCTATCCTCCCCTGCTCTGACAGAGGAATATGAGCTTCGGATTGTACAACGCCTAGATGGAAAGCACCGTTGTGCACACTCCTTCACTCCCTCTACACGGCTTTACTACCTCAGTGCTACAGTATTGAAACAATGTCAACTACCACGGAGCATAGCAACGAAGCGGAGGAGAGGCTGTTATCTTCTCGGTCTAGTAGCTATGACGACGACATACTAGAGGAAATTGCGTCCAAGCAAGTATTGAACCATTATCCGAGACCGTTTCCATGGAGAAAGGTCTTCCAGGGAGTTGGCTACTCCATTACCGGAGGCATTGTGGTTCTTTCATTTGCTTTGGCGGCATACTTCATAGACTCACCCGCGAAAATGTCCACAATCGTCTCAGAGTGGAGTGTCATCGACAGTGGGCAGACCTTTCGCGCCTGGGAGCCCTCTTCAGCCTGCGGAAACACGCCTGCCGAAGCCCGCGAAGCAGGTTGCATCTACGACGATGTCTTGCTCCACTGGATGCCGACACAATGCTCTTCTCCCGAGCTCATTGACGAGTTTGAGCATGTATGGCCATGGGAGTTCTTTGAGGACCAAAACGCCACAAAGCCAGTCACTCTACCGCAAGTCATGGAAGGCACGCAAGACATAAAATGGGTGTCTATTGATCTTCACCGGTGGCATTGCGTTGCAACATGGAAGATTCTTAGTAGCGCCGCACGATGGAAAACGACGGTACCGGCTTATGCTATCAACTGGAATCACTCCACACACTGTGCTGATCATGTGTTGATCAACATGCATACCGAAGACCCTTTCGCCATTAACTCACATCTCGACATTGAGTACACTCCTTGTGTGATACTAGCTGTGGATAGATCACTGGAGAGGGCAAGGGAATGGTGATGGTTGCGTTAGACAGTATGTCTCATTTGGAGGCAAATGACTTGGTCAGAGTCATAAGTAAGTAGTCATCCAGGATGAGAATATCTGAGGTTTAAACCTTTCGAGCAATGAAACGGGACATCAAAACTGCGTTCGCTTCCTACGCAGTTCCCATACCTTCGTGACCGAGATTTCACACACAGCATCCTCGTCTAAGGTAGTACTTGAAAGAATGCTTATCAATATGTAAACGATGATGTATATTGGGTGTTGAAAGAACTAGACACAATGCTCCTCTCCATGAGGGTCTAAGTAGGATGACGTTATCTAAAAGGTGACAGCAAATCTCTCTCTAGCCGCCTGGCCATATCTTTGGAGTAGCCATGGCACCGGGCAGAGCAAGAGTGAGATGAACCCTAATAGACTATTTCCCCATCCTAGTCCCAGGCGATTGAACAATGACTCGCCCGCGAGTGGCAGAAATGCCCCAACAATGCAGCGGAAAATTGTCGATGCTGCAATCGCAGAAGCAGCGTACTTGGTGAACGCATCAATGAGGTATGTATGCAGCGGCATCTGGTCCCTCAATTAGTCACTGAACGGTATGAGAAACCTGCAGCACTCACCATGATCAGGATCAGCCCAGCGCCAAGAAGTGCAGAACCAATGATAGGCAGTATCCAGTGCAGCTTGTACTGCGCAGTCCAGCCATAGAAAAACAGTCCCAATGGCGTGAGCAGGATGGTTCTAGCCATGATTGGAAGACGAAACTCAGGCTGGCGATGTCCATCATTACGTGCCGTTCGTTTATTCGCCATACGGTCGTTAAAGATTGCGTTGCTTATTGCTCCTACGCTGAAGCCCACGCCTAATCCAAGGTATACTAAACCGACTGTGCCAAGCGAGAAGCCGTACTCGGAAGTGAAAACTGGGGTAAATGTTGTCAATAGTATGTACTGTCTATTGTCAGTATCATTCTAAAGTAACAGACATATCGTGAGACCTACCATGTATCCGTATGCCAAAGCCAGTATGGTTGAGAGGACAAGCACAACTGGGCTCAGGAAGAACATCTTGATCGGCCGAATTAGTGCATTGAGAAGGAGGGTACTTGGACTCAACGCCGACTTTTCACCCGGGGCCACGAAAGAGCTTCCTGGATGGACTTTCCTCAGAGCTACTGCACGTTGATGCAACAGTCTGGGGGGATATGTCTCTCGTAGATATAGGAAGCAGATCAACGTGAAGACGCCAGACTATTTCTCTAGATCAGCAAGAGGCGTCGATCATGATAGTAAACACTCACAGGAATTGCAGTAACCCAGAATATCCATCTCCAGCCTAGATCCTGTGAAATGTATCCAGCCGCAACAGGTCCCAGTGCTGGTCCGAGGATTGGGCCGACAAAGTAAACGCTCACCACCAAGCCACGACGCTCAGGTCGAATGAGATCAGCTATGGTGCCACCACCGATAGCTAGCGGAGCTGCACCCGAGGCCCCGGAGAGGAAGCGGAAGATGATGAGGGCTGGCAAGTTTGGTGAGACGGCGCTCAGGATACTGAAGAGAGTGAAGAGAATATTTGAACTGTGGTAAATAGGGAGTCTCCCATAGAGCTCAGATAACGGGGCAAAGAAGCTGGAAAGATTGACTTGATTAGAACATTGAGGATAGTTTACTAGATGATACAGCGGAACTCACATTGGCCCAATGGCATACCCAAGAACGAAGATAGATACGATGAAAGATGAGAGGACCTTGCTATCGCTGTGGAATTCGGCCATCATATCCGGAACTCCAGGTGCACACATGGCGGATGCGATAGACCTACGAAACCATCAATAGTCAATCAGCTACCTCAACTCTGCAGCACACCAAGTCCTAGGGTCACTTACGCGATAAAGGTTAGGGCGCTGACAAGTCCTACGTTGATGCATTTCCGAGTCGTTGACCAGTTCAGGGGCTTACTCTCGTCTTCCTCACCATTCCAGTCCACAACGATATCACGATCCTCATCTTGTCGCTCGACGCCAATTGCGACCTGCTTTTCAGTAGCCATCCTTGAGATTGCAGCTTTTGTCAGGAGTTTCCCCTAACGAATTCACCGAATCAAAGCTTGTAGAATCTTGGCCGGATTCAAAAGCAGGGGAAAGCTCCCCAGCTACATAGGATTCAGTCTAGTGATCCCGCGTATCGTCGACGAACATGGTATTCCATGTAGCTTGAAACTATCAAAAACTTTGAGGTCTCATCCCACGTCTACATGTAGCATTGTCGGGGAAAAGAAAAAGTACCCGGAAACTTTCCTTCTCGCCCGAAGTTGCGACGAAGCCCCCCACTTCACGACTCACGATACTTCAGCTCATCCTAGATGCTAGATGTTGTTCCCCCAACTTTCTTCGTCTCGACCAACAGACGTGCGATTGATACGAGCAAGCGGCAAGGGTCGTGCCGCCATCCGAATAGAGTTGCCTTTATTCCGCCTGCCACAAGCCTAAGTCGTGTAGAGACGTGCTGACGCGCCCCATTTGGAGTAGGCTTATCCACTTTGAGTGTGCTCGAGGCCTATCCAGGAAAGTATCCCATCAGAGGTACAATTAGGCAAAAGAACACTCGAGACCAAACTTCTAAACAGAAACCATGCTACGAGATTAATAAAGAAAATGCGTGCAAATTTTCTGCCTACAGTTTGCCATGTAGCCGTAGAGTCGAAGATCTATTACAGCCTCGCTTCTCAAAACCTCACTAGAGTCGTAACCGGGATGTTTCAGCGTGGTTCCGCCTCGATTATATCTTCCCAAGTTGACATTCAATTCTGTTTCCGTGGCGTCAAATCCATAATCATGTGTCTAGATGATGCCATGCTAAGTAATTTCTGCGGTTAGGTCGGCTATCAAGTGGCGTGATCTGATCTTATCAAACTCGTTATAATACTGGACGTAAAGATGAAGATTCATCATGTGGAACTGAAACCGAAGTTACTAGCACTGTACCAACAATTACAACTACGAGCTACTCGGGCACCGTCGCCAGGAAAACTCTCTGCAGGCCGGAATCCCTCAACTCCCCTCCAGTCCAATCAACATGATCAAAACCGGATGCCTTGAAAGCATCCCGCCATACCGTCTCGTCAGCTGTCGCATGCTTTCTCCCGTCGCTAAACAACCACCATCCCTCAAACAGCCCAAACACAAAGTCAGCCCAGCACAAACGCTCTTGCACCTCCATCACCAGTGCAGACCCGCCAGGTCGTAAGAATTGCCGCGTATTTGTGAGTGACTTCACCATGTCGGGGGTGGCGTGGACTACGTTAACGGCGATGACTATGTCTTGAGTACCCGCGAGGTCTACCGGTGGCGGTTTTTCAATGTCTTGTGTTCGGTAGTTCATGAAGGAGTAGTCTTGGAACTTCCGCGCGGCCTGGGCAATGAAACCGTGTGCCAGATCGGTGAAGGTGTACTCGACGGGGACTCCCGATTTAGCCAGCAACGGGGCAAGCCATTTAGCCGTACTCCCTGTTCCAGCTCCGAGCTCCAGGATCTTGAGCTGAGAGCCGTGAGGGACGGTGACGGTCTTGGTGAAGCGGCTCATGAAGTCTTCCATGAGCTTGTGAAAGGCCCTACTTGGATGCGCCGCGCCGTAAATGTCTTCAAGATACTCACGCCCTTCTGGAGACCCGAAAATCGATCGGACGCCATCTGTGCGGCCCACGTAGATCTCGGCGAGGTTATTGCCGGCATGAGCTACAAGCTTGTTGAGAGATGTGTATGTTGGAAAGTCGTTGAGAATCTGTTGGAGGGCTTCTTTTGGATTTCCACTCGGGACCGGCGTGTCGGTCCTAATGTACGAGTCTCCTTCTTGGCGGACGAGACCTGCATCTGAGAGCATCTCGTAGCAAAAGTCGAGTTGTTTTTTTACATTGGCAGCGCATTTGATGGGCCGCAGTTTCTGTCCTGTTTTCGTTCGCGCAATGTCGCATCGTAATTTTTGAAAGGACTTGATGATGAGCTGCACGATGAGCAATTTTTGTCGTGAATGGACGTTTTCATAGTAGCCTGCGAATCCACAATCGGTTACGATCCTGTCCGTACTCTCCCTCGTTTGGTTGAAGGACTCCACGGCTGCCATTCTGGCGTGTGGTAATGGGTTGCTAGGAAAGAAGACTGCGTTTTCGATGAGGCGGATTGAGCTGCCGTTTCTCTAATTACTCTGCTTTAAACAAGGAGTCGTGAAACGGGAGTGATCACAAGCCGCGATGTTTGTTCAGTGCCGGACTTGTCGACCGGTCACTCACTGTGGAGATGGGGTGCTACCGGTCCGGCTCGGAGGCCTGGGCTATGTCACTTACTCGCGTTGAATCCCTTCTTGGTGCATCGGACAACGATGGGTGAGTCGCGATTTCACCTCCGAGAATGTAGGTGATTTAAATTGCCTATATTTTCTGCCGTGAGTATATGCCAACAAGCTGGCACACACCGTTTCCCAACCATGTCGTAGGCAAGGTGTGATCCTTCTTGATCGCGGGTGGCTCTCATACGGCTGTAACTACAACGTACGCTTCAATTTTCCGGTGCCAATCCTCCACAACCAGCTCCTTTCTTTTTGTTCCCTCTCCTCTTTTTCCATTCAATGCGATCTTTTTACAATCAGGGAGATTTATGTTTGCTTCATCTGTTTAGGTAGGCAATGTTGACAGCATAAGGGGCGTGTTCTAGTTATCAAAGCCTTTATCCAAACACAAAGGAGTTACGTGGTTAGCTTAACCCACGAAGAATTGAACTGGACGGGCAACCTCGCGTCAAGGTATGGACAAAGCCCAGCGCTAGGAAATGGCTTACTCGAGCGCGCCCCAGTTCTCCTGTATAATTCAGGCTTGTGACTACCTCTCGGATTATTCGAAGCTTGACTTTCCTGCTTGGCGACTCCCGAATCCGGAACAACGCTATTTGAACCGGTCAGTCGGTTCCGAGTTGACGGACCGTACAGGGTCGGATTTCGGCAAAACGTGGCAGGACTTAGCGGGAGTTACTTCAGGCGGTTTAATGCGCGAGTCAGTTGACCTCGCGCTGTGGAACCGCGCACTCTGCCGCAACTCAAAGTTTCGTTGCGTTAGATTCTGTCTGGAAAAGTGAAGACGACCAAGATGTTTAGTTAGACATGATGCTCAATTCCAGAGACCTGTAGTCAGAATCTGATTTGACTTCCTCACGGTACTGCATGATTTGACAAGTAGAAGTCTGATTTTGAAGCTACCTTACATGTATCTATCAACTAATCGTGTACACCAACTTTCCAGCACTAACGTTACCCTGCTTGAGGTACTGAATGCCATGAAGAATTCCTTCCAGCCCTTCGCCACCTTGATTAATGATCTGCCTCGCGGGCCGAAACCTGTCCTCCTGCAGCAACCTCTCACTTATACCCCAGAACATCTTCCCAAACTCATAATCGTCGAGTCTCGGCTCAATGACCGTCTCTTTCTCAATCGTCTCTCCTAAAATCGTGTAACCCAACGTCGTAGAGCACTCGATCTTAGGATTCATCTTCTTGACAATAGAGGGAACCAAATACAGCAGGCTGCTGTAGTGCCCTCCTCGCACCGACATTGCTGCGGCGCAAATCCGCGCAGATTGGGCTGTCGCAATGCAGTCCCAAGCATGCCTCAACCTCCCCTTAGTGAAGGTCTTGACTTGCTCTACGCAGTCCTCTGCTTTGTAGTCAACGCAGAAGTCAGCCCCCAAGGCCTTCATGTAGTCGAAGTTCTTGGGCGAACAAGTCACAATGACTGTGCAGTTGGACATCTTCGCGAATTGAATGCCCATAATGCCCGACGCAGTGCTTCCGCCGTAAATTAGGAGGGGAAGCGGCTCTGGAGACGGTTTGGTGGGTAGCGGCAGTGCTAAAGACTGGTAAAGACCTTGACTCTACGACTTGTTTTAGCGAGGATCTGTTAGGAGAGAGCGAGTATCAAGCACTAACCACCGCTACCAGGCCTGATGTAATTGCCGCAGCCTCTGTGTCTTCGACGTGGTCTGGTATCTTCATCTGCAGGCTTGCTTTCGCAATGAGATACTGTGCAAATGCACCGTCTTCTTTCTGCCTTACATTCCTATTGCAAGATGGTTAGAGTCTGTCTGTCTTCCCAAATCCAGGTAGGAGAAAAGGACACATACGAGCCATTGACGATCCCGAACACTCTGTCGCCAACTTCGAAGTCCTTTTCCACTCCACTGCTGACCTCGACAACAACACCTGAGTATTCCAGGCCTGGTCGCGTACCAGTGGGGTTGCCCACCCACATGAAGTCAATGTGCTTCCAGTCAGATGGATTGATGGCGACGGCAGTAGTTTTAACGAGGATGTATCCATCGCGCAGCTTGGGAATCGGAGAAGTGGTTATTGCCGCTTTACCCCGACCTTCAATAATGACGGCACTCATCATGCCGGGAAGAGTTGAGGCCATTGACGGCTGAGTTAGGATGAGTGATATGTGAGGACGGCGACGATAGTCCGCTATAGTACACCTGTAGAATGAATCTCTTTCAAGGCATAAGACACATGTAAGGTTGGATGAGACCACATTGGATGACGTGTGCAATTAAGATTCCGTCCATCCAACTCACTTGCCTGACTGAGGTCCCGATGTTTCTCGAGTGGTGATCCTCTCGCTGAGATCCTTCTCGGACCGCACATTGTGCAGGGACCAGGCCATCATGAGGCGTTCACAAATCGACTCCTGTAGCCAATCACATTAGACGGAAATCGTTTGGATCTCGGAATTTGAAAGATAGACTTTCGCAAAACTCGGACTCAACTATTCTGGTAACACAATGGAAGTCTTCTGGAATACCGAAGTCATCTCCATCGCGACATTGTTCGTCTCTTGTTAAGAAGCTCTACATTAGCGTGAAAGTAATCTCCTTGGCCTTGTAACCCAAACCATAATACACAGCCAAATTCATACGATATCCTTTACTAGGCTGGCATTTGACTCTCACTCAGCAGGCGTTTGCGGGCTTGAACCATCAATTCATATCAAACTTCAGACAATGTCACCAAAGTCGGGCGCCGCCACGCCTTCGTCTGAGATGGACCCCTCCGACCCCATCGCCATCGTGGGAATGGCCGTAAGGCTCCCCGGTGGCGTCAAGAATACAGAAGACTTCTGGAACCTGATGATGAATAAGCAAAGCGGTCTCATCCCCATCCCAAAAGAGAGATGGAATAGCGAAGGCTTTTACAGCCCCGTTGCAAAATGGGGAACGGTCCAGAACAAAGAAGCATACATGTTCAGCCAGGCCGACAATGACCTCACCAAGTTTGATGCCTCTTACTTCACATGTGGTGAGAAGGAGATTGAGCGCATGGACCCCATGCAAAGACAGCTGCTGGAGATTGCGCGCGAATGTCTCGATAACGCCGGCGAGACCAACTGGCGTGGTGAAGAGATTGGCTGTTATGTTGGCAACTTCTCATCGGATTGGCAAGATGACTTGTCAATGGACCCGCACGCTTCTGGTTTGTACCGAGGATCTGGCTACCTCGACTTCTTACAGCCCAACCGGGTGTCATATGAGTACGGCTGGACTGGCCCGAGGTGAGTAACCCATCGTTGTGGCCGAGTCAGTTTTCGCAAAGACTGATATCCCTTGAGTATGCTTGTCAAGACCGGATGCTCTTCATCCATGGTAGCCCTGCACCTAGCTGCTGAAGCCGTGCAAAACGGTGCCTGTAAATCGGCAATGGCTCTCGGATGCAACCTCATTACATCAGTCATCACCTCCATCGTTTTCACGGAAACTGGTGTCTTGTCTCCCAGCGGCAAATGCAAGACCTTTGATCTGCTTGCCGATGGATACGGCCGCGGCGAAGCCGTCAACGCTGTCTACGTCAAGAGATTGAGCGATGCTCTAAGAGACGGCAACCCAGTCAGAGCCATCCTCCGAGCAAGCGGCACCAACAACGATGGTCGCTCCAACGGAATCATGAGTCCCAACACTTATTTGCAAGAGGCCTTGATTCGAAAGACTTATGAGAAGGCCGGTCTTCCATTTAACAAGACGGCTTTCTTCGAGTGCCACGGCACTGGTACTCCCACTGGTGACCCGCTCGAGGTGGCAGCAGTTGCACGTATCTGGAAGGATCATGATGGTGTAATGATTGGCGCTGTAAGTTTATCATGACATTTACGAAAGTTCGAAACCTTCTAACGTACCCAGGTCAAACCCAATGTCGGGCATTCCGAAGGTGCAGCAGGCTTGACTAGTGTCATCAAAGCAGTCCTCGCGTTGGAAAACCGAATGATTCCCCCAAATATCTACATGGAAAACCCCAACCCAAGGAGTGAGAACACCAGTGAGAGTCTCCATTTCACATGCTAAAATCAGCCTAGTTCCCTGGGACGAGGCCAAGCTTTCTGTTCCGACCGAGCCAACTTTCTGGCCTGCAGACAGAGAAGAGCGCATCAGTGTCAACTCATTTGGCGTTGCTGGCTCTAATGCTCATGTAAGATCTCTGCGCATATCCTTGGAAGTCCTTCGCTTACTCTCCTGAAGGTGATCCTTGAGTCGTATGAGGGCTGGCAAAAGCTGCAAGATGATGCCAGCTCTATTAGCTCAGACTCCGGCGTCAGCGTCCGGTCTCCGGGCCAGCGACTCTTGTTGTTCTCCGCCGCGCACTTGACCTCGCTCGAGAAGCAAGTGGAACAACACAAGCAGTACCTCGAGACAAAGAGCGCTGACCTAGACGACCTTGCTTATACCTTGGGCCATCATCGTGACCACCTCAGCTGCAGAGCCTATGCAATTGCGAACGAGGAGGGCGTCTTCGACCCCAGCAGCTTCAAGCGTAAGCCGACGACCGCCCGACGACTCATCCTTACCTTCACTGGACAGGGCGTACACTGGGCCGGTATGGGCAAGTCTCTCATTGAGACCAATGAGGTGTTCCGAGACTCCATCAGGAAGCTCGACGTTTGGCTCCAGTCTCTTCCGGAAGAACACAGACCAACCTGGGCTTTAGAGAAGGAGCTTTCCATCGACGATGACTCTAGCAGAGTTGGCCAACGAGGATACTCTCACCCTTGCGCAACTGCTGTCCAGATCGCGTTGGTCGATGTTCTCGCTAGCCTTGGGGTCCGTCCTGATGCTGTTACTGGTCACTCTGGAGGAGAGGCTGCTGCCGCGTATGCCGCTGGTAGTGTCACCGCCGATGCAGCCATGGCCGTTGCCTACTTCCGTGGGTGGCTCTTGGTCAATGGCACCGTCCCTCCTGGTACCATGGCTGCTGTCAGCCTTGGCCCAAAAGAGGTCGAACCCTTCCTGATTCCTGGAGTGGTCATCGGCTGCGAGAACAGCCACCTCAACTCCACCTTATCAGGCGACCCTGTCTGCATCCAACATTGCGTCGACCAGATCATGCGTCGTCACCCCGATGTCAAGACCAAGATTCTGAACCTGGAGACCTCGTTCCATTCTCCATGGATTGAGCCTTTAGCCGGCCCGTACGAGGAACTTCTCAAACCATATCTGGCCGACCCCAAGGCTCCGACAGTACCTCATTTCTCAAGTGTCACCGGTCTTGAGATGAACGAAGCTGACTTCGGAGCCAACTACTGGCGCCGGAACTTCGTCCAGCCGGTTCTATTCAATACAGCAATGCGGGCAATCCTGAAGAGCAACAACAACAACCTCTTTGTTGAGGTCGGCCCCCACCCGGCTCTTCAACGGCCCATCAGTGAGATTCTTCGCAGCGTGCCTGAGTCTTCTTGCGAGTACATCACCACTCTCCGTCGGGCTGAAGACACTAACCTGTCTATGCTTCGTCTGGCTGGCGAGCTCTTTGTGCAGGGAGCTCCGGTTGACATGTCCACTGTCATTTCCAAGGGCAGAGTCTTGACCGATATGCCGACTTATCCTTGGCTCCACGATGTGACTTACATGGACGAGCCTCGCAATCCTTCCCGCTACAAGCAAAGAAATCATACCAGACACGTCCTCTTGGGTGCTCGGGTTCTTGAAGGCAACGATATTGAGCCTGCTTGGCGAAACATGCTTGACCTCAAGGAAGTTACTTGGTTGATGGACCACATCGTCAACGGTCAGATCGTTTTCCCTGGAGCCGGCTACATAGCCATGGCCGGAGAGGCGATGCGTCAGGTAGCCAATGGCTCGGATGCGTACACCATTAGGGACATGTCAATCATCACTGGTATGACTGTGCCGAAGGAGAAGAAGATGGAGCTGTACACACGCATGATCCCTGAAGACAAGTCCAGCGACGAAGGTCAATGGTATAACTTCAAGATCATGTCCTACGATGGTCATGCTTGGGTCACACACTGCTCCGGTTTCATCCGCTCCGGGGCTGAGGCAGAGAAGACATCCATCACCAGCGCTCAGGCAGAGAAAGAATTTGCTCGCGAGATCGAAGCCGAGGGCTGGTACAAGGCCGTCAAGGCTGTTGGCATCGATTGGCAAACCGCCTTCCAAGGTCTCGACCAGATCACCGCCAACCCAGTCAACAGGGAAGCCACAGCCACAGTGTATGACTTTGAAGACACGACACACTACGCTGCTCACCCGACGCTTCTGGATCAAATGCTTCAGATCAACCTTGTGGCGCAAACGCATGGCCAGAAGCGGCGCCTGGACAGCATCCTGCTTCCCACTTTCATCTCCCGGATGGGTGTCCTCGGCAATCAGGACCTCTGCATGAGGGCCTATGGCAGTATCCACGAGGGTGCCGAAGGCATGTCCGCAAATGCTGCCATATACACCGACGAAGGTCGACCTACGGTGTATCTGGAGGGCCTCTCTTACTCTGAGCTCCCTGTCGCCAAGCGTGGAGAAGTTCTCCTTGGAAGCACCTTTGAGTGGAGGGAGGACATCACTATGTTGGACTGCATCACCGAAGTCGCATCTGTCAACGCGGACTTTGCCAGAGACATAAGCGAAGCAGTCTCTCTCCTCGGCTTCAAGACTCCGGACTCGAAGGTCTTGGAGATTGGATCTGGAGCAACCGACATTACTCGAGTTGCTCTGGATGCTCTGCAACCTACCCAGCACAAGCGCCTTTACTCCGAGTACACTTACGTGTGTACTTCTGAGGAGCAAGTTGAAGACGTCACAGAGACAACTGCAGAACTGGGACGCGAAAGCGTTTCGGTCGTGGACCTAGAGCAGCTTTGCATGTGCAACACAACTGACGTTGTCCTGTTGTCACTTTCGACCTTGTTGTCGGATGACCGCTACTTGCTGGATGACTTGACTGAGTTGAAGTCATTGCAGACTGCTGAAAGCCGGCTCATTGTTCACAACAATGGGCATGTGATCGATGGAGCTTCTGATAGTGAGAAGATTGGGCAGAGACTGAATAGCCTGGGTTATGTCATGCACTCCCAAACGCCGTCTGGTCTGATACTCGCTGAGCCAGTGAAGCGTTCCGACATGGACAAGAGCACCA